TGGGCTTTGTGCAACCTGGGCTAGTGGAGGGTGTCCCTGCCCGTGGCAAGGGGTGGCACTGGGTGGGCTGGGAGGTCCCTTCCAACCAAACCAGTCTGGGATTCTATGAACTAGCTTAGATTTTTCAAGGCCACTTGGGAACCTTAGTTTTGCAAGTTGCAACATTTCACACTGCCATACTGCAGGACAAAGTATTGCTGTCTGTATTTCTCAGCAAAGAAATTTTCTGTCAAAAATTCTGTGAGAATCAAAACCACATACACTTTCAACCGTTGGATCTACTCGAGCCCTCTTCTTCCTCGGAGGCTGAGGAGTCTCACTGGTACTGCTCCCTTCTCCAATTCCTGGAGCTGTACAGAAAAAAGACATTATGCTGTTTAAGAAATCTGGTAAGTCAGTAAGAAATACCAGTAAAAAAAGATTCAGAAGAAGGATTTAAGACTCAGATTTCTCTCAGGTCACCTTTTCTGTTTGTTTTTGTTTAAATATTACTTGTATTCTGGACAACACATATTTGTGGCAATTTAAACTGCTATATTTACACTTAACTGAAAATAGACATTTCTGCACTAAAACCAAACCAATATGTCAGTATCTATAACATTCTTGGGAAGAGTTTTTGGAACCAGCAATTCAGCTTTGCAGATATGTCATCTCCATCTCAATAAGAAAACATAATTTTGACTCATGAAATTATTTCAACAGATCCATGGAGATATCACTTTGCTTTTCAATTGTCAGAGGTCAAAATCTTGACAGACTGAAACAAGCAGTTTGTGTACAAACCAGAAAAGTATACATTCCTCCTGACCAAGGGGAAGAGACATCTGAAGTCCAAGAGGAACAACACAAGGTGACAGTAAGTCAACCTAGTTGAGGCAGATTTAAGGTCTTACTCCACCTAAGAATCCTTCACTAAGGATATCCATTTATATACAAAATAAAGACATACTTACTTTTCTGTTTGTTCTTTTTTGTTTTCCTGCAAGAAGAACACAAATTATTGCAAATATAAAGATAGCAGTACTTAAAGAGTCGGAAGTAGAAAGCCAGAAAAATTCTCCATAAGTCCAGAACAATGAGCGAATACTCTGTGACCTATGGAGTATTTAGATAAAAGCACATGAAAAATGTAGAGATGACTTAGCATCACAGTTATGATACTACAAGATTTTTCAAGTAATGGGCTAGAATTCGCCATTTTGGGGGGGAATCACTGAACTTGAATCTACAAAACCCCAGAAGGCACGCCAAGAACACGAGTATTTAAAAACTGTACTGACTAACACTTAACACAAGTAACATCTATAGATGTTTCATACTTTCCAAGTGCTCTTGGAAAAGTACACTAGATTTGTAGGTGTTTTATTTCTGTATTTCAGGGATCACAGAGACAGAATATGGGACAAGGAAACAGAAGTGCTGGGAATTATCAGATAAATCTCAGTCAACTGAATTAACTTCCAGCAAAGTACTGAAAACCCACACAGTTTTACCACTGCAGCAGTAGAGGGAAGTTTAAAGAGCACTATCAGAATTACATCCATGAAGCTGCATGGACTGCCTACGACTTTTAGGGGAGATCACGATTACACTCACCACTTACTAGAAACATCTGGAAAGGTACTAAATAGCATTGTCCCTAATATTTATCTTCTTCCAAATGCTTCTCTCAACACTTACTGTTTCTAATTTATAAATTTCACACTTCTCTAAAGTCTCTATCCTTAGCCCTTATCTTTATTCCAAACGAAGAGCTGTACTTCCAAAAATTTAAAGACACCTGAAATACAATGCACACATGTAAATATTCAGATAGGTCAAGAGTACCAATGGCAAAATTAAACTGTCCTAACAGTTATTTTTGTTATTAACTTTGTATATTCACTAACCATTTTCAGAAAATTTTAATTAAGAATACTACCAGTCACATTTCAAATTGCACACTATTAATAGCAGTCCAGTTAAATCTCTCAGAAAACTGTAGATTGCGTGGATAAAAGTCTTTACAGTACAAGTGAATTTCCTCAGAAATTCACCACTATCTCAAGTGACTCATATGCAGGCTCTGAACTGGGTTTATCTGGGTCAGGAAGTAGGCAGAGTTTCTAGGAAGGTCTGAAGATAGCAAGAGTAAGGCTTTTTTCAAGCTTCAAGTCAAACAAGCATTAGACTTCAACTGTGGCCAGAACAAAGATCATGTCTCTCCAGGAAGAGGGAACAATTGCCAAGTTAAGCCACTGATAATGGGCTTGTGTATTGAAGAGAAAGTCTTTTCTTCCAAACCTAGAGTAAACAAGGAGGAACAGGGAGTTCTTTCCAGAATTAAAATCACAAGATAAAAATGTTAAGCATTAGTCTAGAAGCAGAGTCTTAAAAAACTGGGACAGGCAATATAAAGTACTTAAAGAACTACCACAATTAAGACAGTAAACCACATCTATGTCACTGAAGCATGAACGCTAGCGTGAACCATTCTAGGCAGTTGCTTGTGCTCTCCCACCTCATTCCTTGTATTTCAAGTCACATGCCTGTGCTTCAACATCAAAGCTGTTTGCAAATCTGTTTGCAAAGTCTAAAAGACAAATCTGAGTTACAGAACAAACAGAAAGAGCTAAGGTTAGAGACAAAACATTAGCATTTGGCAGATTTTTGATAGCCTGTACAGCAGGCTGTCTGGAATAATACTCTTCACTAGTGAAGGCAGCTGTGCAAGGTGAGGTGCTGCTGTCATGTACAGTAACTGAAGCATGCAGTGTACTCAATCTCCAGGAGAAAGACGCAGCACCTGCATTACAGAGGTTATAGACAGCCCTATGGATAGAAGTTGTAGCCCAAGAAGTTGAAACATATCTAGATAGGTTAAAACACATCTTTTTGTGCCACTTCACAACTGCATTATGAACAGCAAGCCCTGTACTGCTGTATACGAGCAGCAAGCTTTCATCAACTTCTGTTTATACAGCAAGTACAGCCCAGCTGCTATTCTTCATTCACAAATTTCTCTATTGGCTGGCATTTTTCACTGAAAACTGACAACAAAACTAAAAAGCAGCATGGAAGTTTCAAAGAAGCTTCTGTGAGAAGAGTTTTTATTAAAAGACTGAACAGAGCTGCTGCAAGGTGCTAAAGATCTTATAGTACCAACTTAAAGGATGCATCCTTTGAGTCAGACATTACCTCCTCAAAGAAGCAGGGTCAGCAATCAGTTCTGGTAAGAGGCCAGCCCAGCCCTCATTGCAGGGTTTTATTTTAGCAGAACAGGAACACACAGCTATAATAAGGATATTCAAGTATTAGGGATCAAAGTGTGAGACTGAATTAGAAAGCCAAAAATAGATGAACTACTGACATAACCATCTGAAATTGTGTAGAAACAAGACAATCAGTAGAAAACAAACGGTATTACGGCTTACAGAACAGCTCACAACAGTGAAATGCTATATATCAAAGGTGACAGAAGGAAAAGAAGCAGTCCATGCCACAAGAACATAATACTGAACTTCCAATCTCAGTATCCGAAACAGGACTGTGTTCATGATCAAAGGGTGAGACTAAAGAGGATGCCAGAGAAGACAACATAGTCAAAGACCGCACTTCACCTTTCCACAGACATTAATCAGAAGAAAGATAATCAAGTATCTGTCAGAGAACCTTGCGTACCACCTCAAGAAGCCAGCAATCTTTGCACAAGAGTGTTGGTGTTAATGCTCAGAGCTCCAAACTGGAGTGTCTTCTGGGACATATCTAGAAAACTGTCAGTAGAAAATAAAAACAGCTTAGAAAATAGAATTCAACACAGACAAATGACATCAGGGAAAAAACGAGCCTTTGGAAGGTTTACTTACTCCACAACAGTTAGGAGTTCATGACTAGGCAGATAAAAGTGTTGTGGACAATAACAACTATTTTACTTTCCCAAAATCCATGTGCCTTTTAAAGGGACTTAGAGGTCTAAGTCCTACAATACATGGTTAAGATATGAGCAGCAGAGTATGAAGGTAGCTGCCACTTGGTCTCAGGTATTTGAGTTCAATACATTCGTAAATGCCAGAAAAAGGAGATTAGGTGCCAGTTTACTGATAAAACCACAGTTGTAACTAAGCTATATGACATCATAAAGTCTTTCCTAATACAAGGTGACTAGTAATAAAAAAGTAAATTAAAATATTCCAGCGTGAAAAATAAGTATCTTGGAAAAAAAGTATGAAATCAGCCACTATTGCTCAAGCACCTTGGTCACTTACTTAGCTGTGAGAAGAAGCTTTCCTATTAAGATTCAATTAAACCATCAAACCTTATTAGCAAAAGGATAAAACCCAAAGTCCGGGTTATGTACACGTATGTCTCCTCTGCCTGGTCAGGCAACCTGGCCTTAGAAGGCACACAATAAAACTAGAAGAGGTAAACAGAACAAAGAATAGTTGGTAGTGTACAACAGCTTCTACACCAGGAGTAACCGGGCAGACAAGGGCTTTCTCAAGCTGACAACTGGGGAGGAAGAAGTGGGATAATGTGGTAGAAGTATCCCTAGCAATAAAATGTGAAGCTCAAAGAACTAATCAGTCTTTCCTCAAGACAGGTGAAAGACCAAAGAAACCAAAGCAGCTGACATTAAAAAGACAGGAGGAGTCAACCTCTTCCTCCCCTCTTCAACACAGTACTGAATTAAAATGAGAACACGCTGCCACAAGATGATGTGTTCAGCAGTTATTAAATATAAGGCAGTCCTACAAAGGGTTATGAAACCCATCACATGGATACAGCCTACAGCTCTAAAGTCCCTTAATTACAGGCTGCTAGAAGCCAAAAGGGTATTTGGGAGAGAACAGCATTCTAGGTTTGACTCCCTTGAGTGTCCCTAAGCACACGTTACTGGTGGCCATCAGACAGCAGAAGAGGTTAGGACAATCTCCAGCTTGAGCCGGTGTAGCCATTCCAATGTTGTTACAGCCCTAGACAACCAGCATGTAGGCAGTGTTCGCATGTCGCTTGACATTTAGAGGACTTGCCGTAGCTTGTTAGAGCACTACTAGCTGTGCCAAAGATAGCAGAGGATGCCACAAGAGACACGCAGCAGGAGTATACGCTTTTGAGTAATATGTTCAGATTAAGAACAAGACTTCTACTAGAAGAAAACACAGTAACTCCCATGTTGAAGTTGAGATACTGTTTTGAGAGCATCTCTGATGAGAGTGCTTGCATAGATCTCATCTAAAAACAGATGCCATTCTCAAATTTGTTATTCAGAGCCTCCAGAACGCTCTCAGCTGCCCTTCTTATTTTCCAAGCACCTGTTAACTCTCATTTTTTACAAGTTAATCATATTAGGCCCATCAAAGGTAGCATCAACTCTTAGAAGTTGGAATTCAGCAGAGCTACGTATAAAACAGTCTGGAGAAGCCAGTATCTGTAGTGTTGTATTTCATTTTTGGCAATCTGCTATAACCATACAGAATTTTTTCTTCTATGACAGCTTCTAGTTATAAGACAAATAATTGTTTTAAAAGCATGCATATTTCTATTTGATCAAATATTGCTTACAAATAGTCTCAAAGCTTTTAAACCAGTTGCTGCAGTTCACAGAAACAGTTGATTCTAAACAGACTCAAGTCAACAATAAAAATATAGCACATTAAGGAGCAGGATCAAACCGCACATTTCTAACACCACCTATCATAGCAGCCTCGCTCCCAAGACTTACAGAAGACAGTGGAGTTACCAGCTTCCATAGAAGCAGAACTCCAGGCTGCAGTAAGCATGCAGACCAACTGTAACTTTCTAGAACCATCCAGTTTCAAAAATCTGACATCAGTTGTCCTCCACTTTTTAAACAGTGGACACACTGAAAGCATTTGGCTACTCATAACATAACCTATCCCAACTGAAAAGGTATACATTTCACAGAAACTGAAAACTAGTAGTCTATACTGGCTTTAAAAAAACCCCACCAAAACGATATACTGCAGTACTTACAATTGTTAACTGAATTGCTACCAAAGCTTACATTATTACAACTGAGGACTTTAAGAGTGTCTTAAAGAAATCTATGAAAGCAAGGAGATTTGATTTCAGGATGAAAATCCTGGTTTGACAATCCATCCTTAACTCACCGCGTCGATATTGTAGGGGTCTCCAAACAGCAAACAGTATGCGCTCCATCTCGTCTGAAAAATCTAGGCACAATGGGGGTTGAGTTAAGGAAAGAATGTCAGACCTAGTGTTTAGCCTTAAAGAGAATCTATTTAAGATTCAAAATTTTACCTTTTTAGCAGCATGTTATAGTCTTACTGAACATTCCTGGAGGATAAGTTGTGCTTAGATTGTTATTTCCTTTCCATTATTGTTTGGCTATCTGAAGAATAAGTTTCAAAATATAAGTTACCTTTCCCTTTGTTCAATCCTCCAAGAATGCTACAAAAGGTAAATTTTGAGGCCCAAATAGGTTGACAGTGTTACCCTTTTAGATACTTGCGTGATCAGTTTCTCCCCCTCCCCACCATCAGTACTTTACGTATCTGCAATGACCTTAGATTTACAACAGGAGAACAATCCAGAAGTTTTATTTTGGAACTGTATTTTGAGATTTTTTTTCAGAAGCCATCTTGCCTTTAGCTGTAAGCAGGATGTGAGAAACAGTAGTTTGGTCAATAATACATCAGTATCACAACCCTGCATCACTGCTAGGGTAAGTCAAAGTATTTCCTCTCCCTCAGCCTCCAAATAGGGAAGAAAAATAGGGAGACTTTGTTGAAAGAAGCACAGGTCTAATTTAGAAAGATGCATTGGATGCAGGTAATGGCTAGAGACTAGGAGCAAGATCAGTGCAATGAGCATATGGGACCCTATTATAAAGAACTTTCATAATGCAAGACTGCTGTTCTAATGACAATAGTTCTCCTTCTTCCCCTTTACAACTCTGAAAATCCACCTTCAAGGAATTAATTTTTCCAATCAACATGAAACAGAAGTCTCAGAGAATTCGCTTATGGTCTGTTTTGCTATGCTGGAAATAACCACCTATGCTGACGATAGTGATGACAGCAAAAAGCAAAGCCACTCCCTTTCCCCAACTAGTTTCAACCAGAGAGTAGAGACAGACCTGGTAACGTGCTTTCAAGCTTTAGAGTTACACAGAGGCCTAAGATAAAGTCATTTTTGCTGTGTGGGTCTCCCTTGGATGCAACATTATTAGGTGTGGTTGAAAGGATTAAGCCAACTTTGATTTCAAGCACAGGTTAACATTTAGCATTTACTCAGCCAGAGAAAACTGCAATCAGACTGAACTACCACGATGACTAAAGCTGACAGTATGGGGAACCTAATCCTGAAGTTACTATTGGTATGTTCTCTGTAATGCAAATTGTAGACATTCACAATTGAGTCATCACTACCTCTGTCAAAGTTACACATGAAATTAATTCTACTCCCACTAAAATGCAAGACAGCTCAGGTACAACAATCCCTTAAGCAGTAATGGCCATAATTCAGATCTGTTGTAATTAGATTTTAATGACATGCATTAGGACCTGTCTAAACAAACATTTAGTTTGTGGTTTTTCCCACTCCCAACTGAAGACAAACAGGTGACTCTGTCCCTGCCAGAGACCTGTCCTGAGCTGAGAGCGCACGCCAAACCGGCGGTGGTAAAGCACCGCAGAGCATTCAGCAGCAGCCCACAAGGCAGCATGCACGGGCCGATCCACTGGACTCCTCGTTCCAGAGACCAAGAGACAAGTTACAGCCTCGGCTAGGCTTCAACTAATCCCAAAGTGAAATCTGCATTCAGGATCTACAGCAAAACACCCACAGCTGTACCCACTACCGCTGCACTTCTCAAATCAGTGGTATGTATTTCATAACAAAGATGCCCATAAATGAGACATGAGATCTGAGGCTGCTGCCAAATGCTCTTCTTAGGAATTGATGTCATTTCAGCAGCTTTCTCGTGAAGACCAGAATCATAAATGAAGTTAGGAGTTCAAAACATCACATTAACAATGACCATCTTCATAATTAAGTGAAGTACTACCCCAAACAGAAGAGTTCCATGGCACATGAGCAAAGCAGTAGAGCTGTACTGACTGTATGAGAATCTAACCATCATGCAAGCCTATTCTGAAAAACAAAAAGGATGGAATGAAAGAAATCTGACAGTTTCATCCTGAAATTATTTTTTTCTAATAAATGTCTGAGCTTGCTTCTGGTCTCTTATGATACAAAACCATTTTTAATAGCATATAGGTTTAGTTTTGTCAAAAACAGCAAAACAAAGACTCCTTAAATGCAGTTTTAACAATTGTACAGTAAGAAGGCAAGGCATTTTAAGGATTTTATTCAAAAGTGCTTGCACAGCTTGGAAGAACTGTTAAATTCTATATAGAAACCGATTTCACCCAGCTACACGAGTCTTACAAGGACTCACCACTTTTTGAGTGTCAGTTCACTAACTTAAGAGGAATAGAGTGCAAAAGTAGTACAGAGTGTTAGTGTCTACTCAGTACCTTGACTCAGTATTAAACACTGCACAATCCAAGAAAGCAGTTTTAATAAAATACTTCAACAAAGGCCTTTTTGATACCACAAAAGTAAACACAGCTTTTGTATGGCTTGTGTCAGAAGTAATGTAGTTTAGTCTGCAGAACCATTCTAAGAAAAACACTATTTAGAGATCAATAGTAAAACTGACAAGCAAAAGTTTGGGAGGGTGTTTTTGTGGGGTGCTTGGGGATAGGTTGGGTTTTTTTGTGGGTTTTTGTTTGTTTTGTTGGTTTGGTTTAAAAAAAACAAAAAACAAAAAAACACCAAAACAAAAAGCTTCTTACACTTCAACATTTTTCTGCTGCAGACCAGAAGTCTTCTTGCCTGGAGCAGCACCTCTCATCTTCCCCTCTGCATATTGTTCCCTTTAAAAACAGTAAATTTCCATTAAAGTCTTATTTACAAAAAGAAGCTTGTTTTCCTTCAAAGAGTAACAGGTTATGCAAAACATTTAAAGAATGTCTAGCAAATAGCTTTGAGAATCAGTGTGTACCACAAGCAGGAACAAATTCAACTCAATATCAAGAAGCTTTAGGCTTCTTCATACAACAGCAGCATGAACACCCGCTTCCTCCCCCTCCCACCATCCTTGTTATTCTGAATCACGTGGAAGCAGCACATTGCTTCTGAAAAATAGAAAACACAACTCAATAAAAGCATTTCTACTAAAGAAATACAAGATTAGCATGCATAAAAATCGAAGTACCTGTAGGCATCCTGAAGCTGTATGAGAAGATCCTTACCACTTAACAACGTATTTTTAGGATCCTGCACAAGAATAATTTTTAAGCCCCCATTTTGCACATTGCAGGATGTACTTGCAGTTGGTCAGACTGCCTCTCCGTTTCACCAACCTACCCCTCCTTAAAGCTTCAAGTCACCACTTTAAAAACTAAGCAGCAGCTTGCCCTTTCTAAACTGCTAAAGGACAAAGATCAGAACACCTCTGTGAGCCAAAACATCTCAAGAATAAATGAATACATGAACACCTCTTGAAAGCTTTTTTTTTTTTAAACTCATTAACTTCCCTTGATATATAGCTGTGGGATTGAAGCTCTATAAAAAAAATAATTATTTACTGTCAAGGACCTCTAACAAAAATACTTACTGATTGGCCTTTTGAAGTTCTTTTTGTTTCTGCAAATTGGTATCCACGTATTTGAGCACTCTGCTTTCTGGAACCCATTCATCCCAGCTGAAAAAAAATTAAAACAACAAACGATCATTCAAAACCATAATATAATTCCATTCTACACGCAATAGTCAATTAAAAGCTTCACAGAACTTGAGACTGAACTCTGCTTTTGTGTCAAGTCATGGACTGGCACAACTGAAAGTGTAAATTACCGAACACATTCCCCACTGACTGAAGCTGTAAAGATTTCTCTAGGGAAGTATAGCCCTCAGTCATTTCCAAACAGTTTCCCAAACTTGAAGGATGGGCAATTTAGGAGGGAGGGGACTGTCTTTAATTTAAAAGAAGCATCTCAGGAAAAAAAAAAATTCTACACTTACTAAATTATGGGACACCTGTAGCCATAACTATATCATGAAGCAAGTTTCCTTTATCTATTCCAACATTTTATAGGTTAACAAATTCAGCAATAAGATCTTACTGTAAGAAGAAGAGCTCTGATTTCTGTCTGTGAAGGAAACCAAGATGGCATGAATATTTGAAGAATCTGAAGTGAACGATTTAAGAGAACAGGTGTTGGGGAAATTGCCATTACGAGCAAGAATTCCACTTTGACAAAGAGTGGATTATCTGAGCAATCTGACAATTTATTTCAAATAAAACACATTAAAAGTGGCCAAGTTATTCTAAAGTACACAAGTTAAAGATCTCTCTATAAAGAGTTCTGCGTCATTTTCATTTCATGGCAATAGCTGCCAGTCTTGGAACATCAAGGTGGCAAAACCAATACCACTACAGGAGTACAAGGTCCTCAAGAGCGTTAAGACAAGGCAAGCTTAGCATCCAAAAGTTAGAGAAACACATGTCCAGCTGTACACATGCTAAGACTATGTTTTTAGAATAGTGCTTTGGTCAGATATTTAAGCCACTTATCTTACTCCTGCCTGTACAGCTGCAAGAGACCTTCAAAAGAAGTGCTATATAACTGTGTGGCACATTATACTATACGATGAAGAAACTTTTTTGGTATCCTAACTGTTGATATTTGCAAAAAAATTAAGTCGTCGAGCAATTATCAAGCAACAAAAGGACCATAATTATAGAAACCAAAATTAAGGAGTGATATTGCCCCAGTTGTCTAGATCTTGCAGCAACGCCACTTTTAATGTAGTTAATTGGAAGCTTGAAGGCAAAAAAACTCGAAACAGCGCAAGCAAGAAAAGCAGGAGTCACGACATCACTTATGGCACCCGTCACAGATAAACAAGGAGAGGAAGTATCAAATTTATGCTGCCTCATTAATACATAGCAGCCACCATAAGAACCAATTACACTCCCTGTAACTTCGGTGTTTACAGTAAAACATCTCTCCATTTGACAGGGAGGGTGTGCGGATGCATTTAAAAAAGTTACACATTAAAACACGAAGTTCAGCTTTTAGTCACATCAGTGAGATCAAGAGATTAGTGACTAAGTCTTCGCTTTAGAGTCTGCAGCATTGAAACAAAACCAAACCAAACAGGAAAAAGTGCTCTTCAAAAGACTTCTGGAGTCTGAACAGCTGAAGTGTCAAGTACGTAAGTGTGATAATGTCATTAAACTATTCACCTTCAATATATTTCATGGAGAAGTCTTTATTCTTAAGAAATCTCTCACCTAGAATCCTACCATTTTTGCAGAAGGAAAAAGTATTTCTAACTTTATCTTAGCATGAGAGGCAAGAACTGAAATACGGGCTAAACCTGCTCCTGTGAAGGACTGCACCAGACAGCCTTTCCCATTCTGAACACAGCCTTCACTGAGGCGTGCTTCTCCAAATCTTTGCTACCGAACTTTGCTGCCAAAAGCAGTATAAAAGTGAAGTACACTGCATATTTGAGTAGAGAGGTTTGCCTCACCTCGGTAGGGGTTCCCTCTCCTACCAACACATACAAGGAAGTTTTTGTACTGGCTATTTCTGCCAGGGAGAAATTACAGTAACTGTTGTCAAACTTAAACAAACAGAATGCTATAAAGCATTCCCATTAGTCTCCTGATACCCTAAGCTAACCTGTCCGTACAACCATAGCTCTGAAGGAAATGGTTAGTTAGGCAACGTTTTCTTTGTGTTACTATAAATCATTGGCTTATGTATAAAAATCATTTAAGTCGATTTCAGAAACGATCTCCTAACAACACAGACATGGCAGTGCTAGTCCTCCAAGCTCCCATTCCAACGGGCAAAGCCTGCATTTCCCCGTAAAGGAAAATGAAACACTGCTTTCATTTTATGCAATACTTACTTTTTATTCCAACCACTGTAATGGATAAAGTATTTCACTTGCTTGTCCTTTATGGCAACCTTTACACACTGGAACAGAGAAGAAAGTTCAGTCAGTACCAAAGAGAACAAAGAGATCTAAATGTGTTTTTTGGGTTTTTTTTTAGCTTTCAGAGTTTAAACATGCAGAGATTTCCATGCAAGCGATTGAAATATTGGCAGCTATTTCACAGCAGAAAGTAAGTTCTCTAACACAAGTTACTGCCTATTTAGGGATCTGGAAGGGCTAGGCAAACAAGCGACTCTGCAGAGTTATCCAAAGGGACACCTTCATTCACATGAAGGATCGGAAACCCCTGAGGATGACCAGAAGAGTAAACAAGCAGTCACTTCTCTACCCCCAGGTTAGCCAAAAGCCATTCACTAGAGAGCTTGTTCACATGCATGCCCCTACCTCACAGACAGGTAGGCTGGCTGAAGTAGAGGAGTCTTCAAAAGTAAAATAAATAATATGGATCTCTACAGCCACACAGAGCGCATTATATTCAGTAGAAAGAGTTGCAGTAAGGGCTTTTTCTAGGTTAAGAACGTATACATGAGGTAAATAAAAACAGTTATTTCCATCAAAAGACTGGCCTATGAGTACAGTAACTTCCTTACGCAGCGAGATTAAGATGAGACCATTAAAAAAAGGGAACAAATACACAACAAGGTTACTCCAACAAACACTCCACAATACCACTCAGATGCAAAAGCATCCCTCAAACTTTTCTGCCTTAGTTTAGCACAGCCCTACTTGCAGGTCAGCCTGCAAGACCCTGCCTCAGCTCATCCAGAGGAAGGTGTTCAGGGGAGCTCAACAGCTGAGCACGCTGCCCAGTAAGGCCACAACTGCCTCCTACCCCTGCAGCCTGGCACGCGAGAGCTCAAGACACCACATCTATATAAAAGAAAGACATAGCAGAGACATGTCTCTTCCTGCAAAAGCATAGCCCAGAACAGAAACTACATAACCCACCTCACGTCCCCGAGCTTCTTAGCTATACCAAATTAAATCCAGCAACTTTGGCTTGGGTAAGGCACTTCATCCAGAAAGGTATCGAGTCTTGCTCTGGATACACTGAGGTACAGATGCCACTGTACCACTTCACAGTGAAATGATGAGGGTGTTGTAAAACATGAAGAATCACCCTCTTTGGCTCTAGCTTTTAGTCCCTTTTAAAACATCTTTTTTTTCCATTGAAGTAAAATAATTACTCATAGAAGTCATAATTGCTATTTTCTTTCCATGCTAATTGAATTGCCTCTAAGTATTTGAGAGGGCAGAGCCTTCGGCTGCACAGCACTTTCTCAAGACCTTTGTGGTGACTCCTTCCTGCACCCTCTCCAATTAAAAAAAAAAGTAATTGTCAACATAGAGAGGAACATCATATTTCAGTACTAATCTCCAAAATGCCATGGAACTTAAACTCAGTTCTCACCCAGACTTGCAACCAGAAGTAAGGAAATTCTAATCTTTTGATATACAGTGGCTCATTTTGACAATCCTGTAGTTAAAGGCAGCCAAATACAAACTGTATCCTTCAGAAGTGTCTACTAAGTGAGCATGAAGTCAAAGATGACTCAAATATATTCCTGTACCAAAATATTTTCCTTCCTGCTGGGGGTTAGAAGATTCTTAAGTGAATCAGGAACAAACTAACTTGTGTATTGAGAATCACAGAAGAGAAATAGATCAGAGGAACAGGAGGAAAGCTAAGGTTACCATCCATTACTACCTACAGAGTATCTTTGTAAAATTAAGCCCAGTTCCTCCTGCCATTTCAGGAGCCCAGAAGGATCCAGACTCTCAATATAAATAGCCAGCCAAAAGCTGCCTTACCAACTGGGACATCCCTCCTAGCACCAAGCTGGCAGAGCCAGTTCCTGCAACGCTCCTTCCACGCTTGCGTGAAGAGAGGCACAGCACAGAATGGAGAAGCGCACCACTGTAGCAGCTCTGGGCTGTTTAACTGACCAAAGAGTTAAGACTGCTGCTAAAAGGAAAACAGAAGCCTCCATGACTCTCCTCTCCACACGAGCACCTGGGCAGGCACTGACAGAAGGCAGCGCTCTGAGCACACACTCATAACGAACTTGTCCTCCAGAACAAGGAAGAGAACAGAGTAGCATCACCGAAGTGAAAGTGGTTTAGAGAAGCATATCCCCTGTCAATGCTCTGGACGTTATTTTAACATTAGAATGACTATTTCCTGATAGCATGAAAAGAGATGTCAAGTACTTCTGGCTGCCTCCCTACTACCACCTGTCTGAAGTTGTCCCGTCAATTAACATTTACTGACACTAAAACCTAATGGATTCACATCTCTGTTTAAGGTGCCCCAGGAATTTCTGCAAGTCTTCCAATCCATGCAGCTACAAAAGCTGTTTCAGAGGAAGTGGGAATAGGCAGTCAAATTAGGAGCTACAGATGGCATGGCAGTGACATCTGCTTATGGCCCACAAGAAAAGCACGTCATTGAAAGTGTTGCAGCAGAGGCCTGACAGAGGCAGCAGGGATACTCCTCCAAGTCACAAATTTGCAATGCATGGTTTCTGCGGTTAAAAAGCCAGAACTGAGAATGCCACTTCGTCACTTCAGTCCAGCAATATCTTCTGCAGTGTTGTCCCATTTGAAGACCACCAGTTGTACTCAGCCACCTACACCTCTGAGGAGGCTCAAACTGCAGGTAACTTACTAGCTCATGCATTAGCACCAGCACCAAGTCCTATGGGCACAAATGCTTCCCAGTGTTCTGGGAACACAGGTATATCAGGATGTTCAACACATAGACCACCCAGCCTTTAGTAGTTTACCAGAATAGCTGCATAGTACCATTGGGGTTTGTGAATTTTTTCTAAAATATAGAGCTCCAGGATTTAAAACTAATTAATTTCACACATTATCAGGTTTTTGTTCATTTTGGTTTCAGTCCTTAATCCCATCTATAGCGAGGCACAGCAGGTAAACTAATACAATTCCTTATTTTCCTGGGGAACAATCAGAAAGGTCTAAGCAACCACACATACCTTTGCTTCATAAAGGAGAGGTCCATGAAAACAAAGCACTCGTTCACCTGAAAGTTGCAGATAAACATGTTAGAACACCATCAGTATGCCATTTCTGTAAAATATACATCAAGTACAACATAGAATGAATCCAGTGTCGACCTAGAAAGAAAGTCAAAGGCAGATACTGATTTGAGAAGCAGGCTGGTGTTTGAGAAGCAAATTCACTCTCATACAAAAGAGGATCAGAGCTCTGATTATTTAGGCCATGAAGCAGATTCCTGAGGACCTCCCTGAAGAGCACTCGTGCAAGGACAGCTGCGTGCAAACTGTGTCCAAGCCTGCCCAAGGTTTTGCAGAACGGCTGGTTACTTCAGCAAACAATTGGCACCAAAACAGACATTCCTGCCCATGCTTCCAGCCACTGCTAACTGAAGTTACAGACACCCTTGCCTCCTGTCTCAAAGCTGGGACAGAGAACTCCTTCAAAGCCTTGAATTTCAGATGCAGATGGCAGAACACACTGGCTTGATACGAATGGACTACTTCAGCCTAAGTACTCAAGCAGTAAGCAGGTAAAATCATCTTGCTGTAAGGGATTCTTTAGTCTCCAGGACATTGCATTTTGATTTAGAACAGGAAATTAGCTCTCAGAAGAGATGTCACCTCTGCACATTAAGCTTCTGACACAAATGAAAGCAAGTGTTATTAGTGCTCCTTTTCCTGCACGAAGTACACCACCTGCTATTTCTAGCTCAATGAAGTCAGGAAGAAAGAGACCCAAACATTGTCTCCCCATCCGACTTGTGGGACAGAAGAACGCCAGGTTTGTGCAACAGCAAGAAAAATTATTCACTTTGTGGTTTTTAAGTAGGAAGACATTGTTCTTCAGTCTGTGTTTTTTTTCTCCTCAATGGCAAGGTCTTATCGTGCGGTTACATTGTGGGAATTTGAACGTACTTAACACAGGATATCTGAGTACAGATGTTTCCTTCTTGAAAGCTGCAGTACCTTGCATTTTCAGAGAGACAAGCTGCATAATACACTCCAGGGTATAGCACACATACAGTTCTTGCCACTATTTCCAGGACATACAGGACAGAAGAAAGCTGTCACAGTCACCACGTCCATGCTGCACAGTACACGTGCAGGTATTTATTCGGTCCTCAGTCTGGGCTGGGGGTGTGTAGAAGCAGGCTGTCTCACCAGTACCAGAGCTCTGGATGCCTTCTTCCTTGTGAGCAGCTCAGGAGTGACTGGGGGCAGGGGGGAAGGACCAGTTCTAGGCTATAGGTTTAAAAGTACCCTCCACCAAGTTTCTACTCTGCTCTTCAAAACTGCTTTTTGCATATTCAGGGGATAAATACAGTCAGTGGCATGTTGTACCATTAACTTTGACTCTCTTGAGTCCTGTTCAATTCTGGCTTTATTTGCTTCTTTACCCCACAGACACATAACAGGACTTTCATGAAACTTTTAACCAGATGGCCTCTAAAGAGATACTCCCTCTGCAAACAGAAATTGAATGTCCCCACATCTCAGGTTTTTTTTTTTTGGTGAAGGGGCAGAGCAGTTCTTGCACTCCTTCCGAAAACAAACTTCTGGCAGGGTCAGGGCAGTTACAGTTTATCAGGTGGCTGATGACAAACCACCTGATTTTGCCTGAAGCAGATAAGGGAGGCTTCAGACACACCACTTCACCAGCTGTATCTGCTTGTCTCCCAGTCTTGCAACGGCTTCTTCAATCAGCACAGCTACTGTCACATTTCAGCTGACACATCCAGACTCTGAACAATATGCAACTGTAAATTTACTACTTCATTCCTATGTTGACTAGAAAGAACTGCTCATGTTTCAAATTTATGGAGAGCATGGGATTGTACAGATTGGATAATAAAATCTTAAAACAAGTATTCACAGTAAAGTCCAAGAACACAAAACTAGGTCAGAAATGTATTTCAACTGGTAAAATGCTTCTATGTATCAAGAAAGAAAAAGGAAAGTTTAGAAAGGTTCTCACAGAAGTGCCCATTTGGATATAGTCAGTACTTTTATTTAAAAAAAAAAAAGAAAGAAAACATCCTTATAATCAAGGCTAACAATCTGAATTTACATTATCATCCTGATTCATCATAGTGCTTCTGGAAGACACATCTCTGTTTCAATTAGCATACAAGGTCTTTCTAGGTAAGACATCCACAGTTACCAAGAATTATTGTATTTATTTTTAGAAAACACAACATGAATCTCAGTTTTGCAGAAAGGGTTCTTCTGTTTCCATGATAACCTCCCAGGCTTTTGCTCCTTCCCAGCTTACTGCAGACATGCAGGCGGCCTCTCCTCTGAATCTACACACCACTCATTCTCTCCTACATGCTGCCACCGCTGCAGCGAAGCACCCACACCTATTCCTTATTCCAAAGACAGTATATGTAGGAGAACAGCTCTTTAGCCAAAATAGCTGGTAGAAAAATACCTGACCATGCCCTGCTGACTCCCCTCAACACCAAGCTACACAGAGCTCTTCTGTTGCATAGGAATGGCTGCCACCTGGCCAGCGCAGACTGCTCAAACAGCACTTTGGCTCTGAACAGGCACTTCTTCCCCTCAAAAGCTCCTGCAAGTCAGAATTCAGCTGCCCGCTCCTTCACTGTTTTACATGCAGAGTATTTATAGAAACACGAGGTTCTCAATCTGTGGATCAAGGATACAACTACCAATGATGTCATCCCGTCCATGTCAGTGTAGCAGGCTAGCTAGCATCTTCAGAACAGACTAGAAAACACAGAAATCTGATCAGCAGAAGAAAAGTCTGCCTTAAGCAACTCAGAAGTTGAATCTGACATCTGAGACTCTCTTGTATTTGCTTTAAAAAAAGTCAGCGGTGAGGTGCAGATCACCTCAAGCACCTACAACTCTTGATTCCTTTGTCTAGATGCTGATCTCATTTCTCATGCCTACATGAAAACATCAGTCCCTTCATTTTAAGGGCTAATTGTACTTCTAGCTTGACATTTAGGTTTTCCTAGTTTTTGTAGGTTTTCACAATAAATTCAGTCGTCTCTTCACCCTTTGCTTTGCGAAAAATGCCAACAGGGATAATTTCTAAGTCTACCTACCACTTTGATGTACGTTTAGCTTGAAAAACCACAATGAAAATAATTTTCATTTGTCATGCTGTAAAGGGCCACAATAAAGCATTTAAGTCTTAGGCCTGCAGGAAGCTTTATTCACAGCGCTTTTCTCCCTTTTAATGTTACAGTTGAGATCAAACATATTTACATCTGTTGAAAAAAGCCTAAAAATTTTAACTTCTGTCCTAAACTGAGGTTACTCCTATTCCTACAGCTGTGAACATAAACAGAATTTCAGGCTGAAATTAAGTTTTAGTTTCTGCAGTTCACTTGATTTCACATTAATTATTATAATGTGACCCAGACATTAAAATTGTGAGGTTAAGAATACCACTGGTATTAAGCCGTGGCATGGAATGCTGATGCACGATTGAACACGCTCTGACAGAAGCGGCCATGAAGCACGTACAATTACAGTGTTGTTTCAGCTACCCAGAATGGCCGGCTTCCAGTCATTCTTCTGCAAACTGTGCTTTTAAAGCTAAATCACAATCATGTGGAAAGTCCTGCTTAGAAGCCAAAGTGAGGGACAGGCAGAAAAGATGAAGTAGGTTTTCATTTGCTATTGTCTAGCATTTTCATTTACCTATCTTAGTATCACAACCATTATCTAAAAATCAACATGTATGCAGAATAAGTCTCAGAAAAAGCATAATCCTAACCCATATTCTTAAAAAAAATATAATCTGGTGCTTTCTTGTAAGTATGGATTCCAGCCGAACAGCCAGCTCTAGTCCAATTGCTGCCCCATGACTCCTTCTGCATAAGGATGCCTAACTGAGCTCCCCTTTCACAGAGGAATAAATAATAATCATGTTTCAAACTCAAGAAAATAAAAATCCTGACAAGTTTAGGAGATCTCAACGGTTTGAATGCCAATGAATATCCATGCCTGCAAGAAAATGAAGCATATTTAGAATAGCAGGGGATAGGAAAGCCCTACATCTTATTGGTAGGCAAGATGAGGAACAGGGAGAGAGACAAAGACCACAGGAACTCAGTTCTTCCACATATTCTCACATTGTTAGGGCTGAGCAGCAAAAGGTAAAACCCAACCCATCCTCTGTGCTGAGGAACCATAGACCCTGGAGCCCAAACCCGGCCTAGCTGAAGGCCTCGCTGAAGGCTCGCTCAGGGCCACCGGCACGGTGAGACGGGCCACTGCAGTGACCCTCTGCTGAGCTCCAGAG